TAAGGAAACTTCAGAGCAAACAAATGCATCTTGTTCTGCTTCTTGGACAGGGCCAGACCCGGATGGTGGCCGAGTGCAAGGCACAGCTAATGCCAGAGCCATGAGCTTGGCAAGAACAGTGACTGCACCTGATGTTTGTTCCCAGAGCTTAGGCTTTTTCACTGACACTCTCTGGGAAGGGAAGTTTGCCCAGCTTGCTGCCAGATGCATTGAGCTGCCCTGACCGTGGGAACACATATATCTAGTGCAGGGGTGGGCAATTATTTGGGTCTGAGGGCCACATAGGGAGTTCTGATGAGCTGTCATGGGCAGGTCAGCAGCCCCCTCCAGTGTAACAACTCACTAAAACTCCCTATTGAGCTTTGGGTGGACAGGGACCAGTGTTCAGAAGCAGGACAGGCGGGCAAGTCTGGGATTATGCGGTTGGGTCATGGGGCAGTGACAGCTTAGGCAAGGGCCTGGGCCAAACCATGATCCACTCCCTGCATGCACTGCCCAGTGGGGGTGGTGCTGCCTGGGAGCCAGCTGAGTGTTGGGCCAGGGAGGAGGAGGCAGGGGGAGGGCCGTATGTGGCAGAGTTTACCCAGGTGGCATGGTTTGTGGCAGCCCCTGTGGCACTCTGCATGGGGCTGAACCCTGCTCGGGGCAGCCCATGCCACGTGCCCACCAGCCTGGCCCCAGCCCCAGCCAGCGTGCAGCTTCTGGTGGGGTTGTTCCTGGTGTGGCTGCAGCCAGCCAGGTGCTGCTCTGCTCCTCTTGACTCTAGTGGCAGCTCCTCCTGCCCCTGCTGTACTACTCCAGGCATGTGGGGGAAGCTTCAATTGGGCAGCTCCCACTGGAGGTGAGAGGAGCAGAGCAGCACTGGAAACAGCCCTGCCAGAAGCTGCACATGCTGGTTGGGGCCTGGGCTGGCAGGTGGGAGCATGGTGCAGGCTGCCCCAGCAGGAGCAGGTGGGGCTCAGCCCCATGTGGAGCGCCACGGGTGCAGCCACAGCCTGGATCTAGTCAGTTGGCAGGCTGGACCCTGCCCACAAGCTGTATTTTGCCCACCCTACTGTAGTGGCATCACAGCCTTTCTGATTAGAAACTCTTGCTAGAAGGTATTGCTTCCAGCAATGGTATGTTTTAACAGGATAATGAGGTGACCAGCTCAAGCCCTTTTGAGCTGTGTGCAGCAAGTCCCCTCTAATGCAGAGCTCTCTCTCTCTCTTCCTTTGTGAGAAGCAGACTAGCCAACACCACAGGAATATCCTCCCCTTCCCCTGTTCCCACAGAAGACTCTTCCCATCCCCAGAGACTGACCTATGCTGGAGCTGGGGTGATGGTGGATGGATGCTTTGCAGGGAGCAGTGGGAGATACATGTTAACCTCCTCATATACCAGAGAGACTCCTCCAGAGATGTAAAATGGGCAGCTCCCCCTGAACAGTAAGAAGTCCTCCCTTTTGTAATGGAAATCACTGGCCATGCATCTGCAGTGGAACCAGGCAGTTGGGAGGCAATGCAGCTGCTGCAGACTGCCCAAGGCACAGAGGCCATGCAAGGCTGACCCAGAGATCTGCGCACACTGCTGATACTCATTCAGATATTAGAAACAGAAGATGCAGGACTGGAAAGGACAGCCTGTCCATCACATCCAGCCCCTGCTATCCCAGACATCACTTCAGACAATTCCTTCCATAACCATTAGAGCTTTTTTGTCCCCACTTCTTCTGGAAGGTTGTTCCTGAACCTCCCTGCTCTTACATTTGCAAACCTTACGGTTTCCTGCCTACTTCCCAGTTTTTCCTCGGCTGTTCTTGGGCCAACATTTTCCTTTGCCCTAAACAGCTTTTAGGTGTCCATAGGGTTAGATGTGAGCTAGGTGCTCACTTCTTTTGCAGATGGGAACTGGGGAGAGAGGCAAAGAGATGGCCAATCCTGACTCTCAAATGAAGAATGCAGAGGCAAACCTACACAGGGAATCCTGTGGAATTCCCTGCCCTTGACCGGGACTTTACCACACACTGAGAATCTGTCCAAGTGAAAATAATAGGCAAAGCCCTATTTTGCCTCATGGGTAACCACAGTGTAACTTGGAACCAACTCTGGATTACCTGATTAAAGTGTAGGAATGACTTTTCATAGATTCACAGAAGCCAGGGTCAGAAGGGACCTCAACAGATCATCGAGTCTGACCCCCTGACTAGGCAGGAAAGAGTGCTGGGGTCAGATGACCCCAGCCAGATGCTTATCCAGCCTTCTCTTAAAGACCCCAAAGATAGGGGAGAGCACCACCTCCCTTGGAAGCCCATTCCAAATTTTGGCCACCCTTACCATGAAGAAGTATTTCCTGATATCTAGCCTAAATCTGCTCTCTGTCAGTTTGTGACCATTGTTCCTTGTTACCCCAAGAGGCGCCTGGTGAACAGAGCATCTCCAATCCCTTCTGCATCCCCCTAATGAATTTGTAGGCGGCCACAAGATTCTCTTGAGGAGGCTGAAGAGGTCCAGGTCCCTCAGTCTCTCCTCATAGGGGCTGTCCTGTAATCCCCTAACCATACAAGCAGCCCTCCTCTGGACCCTCTCAAGTCTATCAACATCCTTCTTGAAGTGCAGCACCCAAAACTGGATGCAGTGCTCCAACTGTGGTCTGACCAATGCCACACAGATGGGAAGTATCACCTCCTTGGGTCTATTTGTCATGCATCTGCTGATACACAATAAAGTGCAGTTAGCTTTGCTGATGATTTCATCACACTGACAACTCATGTTCATCCTGGAGTTCACTGTGACTCCGAGATCCCTTTCCACTTCTGTGTTGCTGAGAGGGTCACTTCCCAGCCAGTAGGTGTGCTGGATATTTTTGCGCCCTAGGTGCAGCACTCTGCACTTGTCCTTGTTGTACTGCATCCTATTGTGTACTGCCCACTTGTCTAACCTGTCCAGGTCTGCCTGCAATTGTTCCCTACACTCCAGAGTGTGCACTTCACCCCACAATTTAGTATCATCCACAAACTTGGACAGAGTAAACTTCACACCCACATCCAAGTCACTGATGAAGATATTGAAGAATACAGGTCCAAGGACCGAACCCTGCGGGACTCCACTACCCACATCCTTCCAAGTCAATACCGACCCGTCTACTATCACTCTCTGGGCATGACCGCTAAGCCAATTTGCCATCTACCAGACTGTGTAAACACTTATGTCACAGCCTCTTAATTTATTTATGAGAATAGGATGAGATACTGTATCAAAGGCCTTGCTAAAGTCCAAGAAAACAACATCTACCTCTACTCCTGCATCTAAGCATTTTGTGACCCTGTCATAAAATGAAACCAGATTGGTCAGACATGCTCTACCTACTATGAATCTATGCTGGGTTCCCTGCTGCATTATTTTTCCCACTGGAGTCCCACAAATATGATCCTTCATAAACTTTTCAAAGACCTTTCCAAGGATAGAGGTGAGACTGACTGGCCTATAATTACTTGGATCCTCCTTCCTGAAAATAGGAACCACATTTACCCCTCTGGACATGCAAGTGCCCCTGTTACGACCCTCCAGAGGCACAGAAATGTCCTCAGATGCATCTACACATGCACTTTACTGCAGAGCTGATTAGGTCCACAGTAAAACATCACCATCTACACATATGCTATATTAGGGCACAGTAAATTAATTAATTCTGCTGTAAGATAGTACTGTCCAGGACAAGAACTGTCCTACAGCAGAGTAATTATGTCCACTGAAACACATGTAGACAGTGACCAGAGGTCGCTGGGGCACAAGTATGCTACAATACAGGGGCTGCCTGCCAGCTAGCCCCACAGACTGCATCTACATGAGATGCTAACTGTGCAGTTGTTACTGGGCAGGCGTTTAGTACTTGTATATACAAGTGCTAAATGACTATGCATTAACCAGAGTTACTGTGCAGTAGTGTCACTGAAAGGCTTTTAGGTGATGCTAATTGAGCAGTAACTCATTACTACTGCACAGTAGCTTCATGTCATGCTTCCTGCCACATGATACTACTGCACAGTAGTAACGAACTAGTCAGCATCTCATGTAGATGTGGCCACACTGTGGCATCCTCATGCTCCAGCCAGCTCCTCTGCAGTATGTTGAGCCAAGCTGAAGCAGCTGACCCCCTTGGTTCCCTGCTAACTGGGGTTGCTCTGCCCTGACTCAATGTGCTGTGGTCCTGGGTACATGTGTAAACGTGACACCTGGGATCAATAAACTCTGCATGAACTGCACTGGAGTTTTTTGTTACATGCTAACTGCACATGTAGATGAACTCCCCTAGTCCACATTTTGGTCATCCACTAGCTGAAAGAGAATTCCAGGCAATGTCCCCACATGCATTCATACATGTAAAGCTGTTCCTGTGTGTTAGTGTTTGCCCCCTCATACATGACTCACAACATGATGATATGCCATATGGAAACATCAGTGAATGTAAAAATATGTTTCCTATGGGTGCATCTACACAAGACACTGACTGCACAGTAGCCAAAAAATATTGTGCCGTAGCACGTCACAGCATGGACAGTGCTAATATGCTACTATGCAGTATTATTAGGCTGCTGCACGGTAGCATCACCTAAAAGATGTTCGGCAATGCTACAGTGCAGTAACTCTGGTTACTGCTCATGTATTTAGTGCTTGCTAATACAAATATTAAATAAAAGTACAGTAATGACTGTGCAGTAGCGTCTTGTGTAGATGTGCCCTGTAAGTACAAAAATATGTTTCCTCCATGGTTCTGAAATGAATTCCCCAGGTCCCACCCCAGAGTTTGCAAAGCAAACAATAACTTAGGACCAATAAGTAGTTCTTATAACAATCTACAAACACCCCACTAATTACAATTCAATGAAGGTGTCAAAATATGACCCTTATTGTACAAGTCCCAGCAGATGGGGATAGATCCAAGGGTCTCAGAAGTTAGTATCATGATCACTCAGTCAATTCCATCTTTCTGTTAAACTGGAATTTCTCTGTCTTTCTTACATTAGTTCCTTGAGACTCCCGTTCTGCTTCAGTGCTTCAGCAATTTGTTTTGCACCCTGGGGCCCAATGGAGTTCTTCTGAAGGCTGCAAAGAAGAGGGAAGCAGCCATAAACTCCCAAATGTAAGAATCATCTCATCAGTAACACACATTCACTATGACTATACCATTCTCTGCAGAGTTTCACTATCTCTGGCTGATGTACTTCTACCACTGTATATACCACACCTCACTAATAAGCAAAGGAGCTCTGCTGTACTCTCACTGCTATTCAAACTTCCATCCATGCAAGTGCAACTATTTCCACCTACTAAACTCAAAGCCTCAAATTATCTGTGGATGGATGCCGCATATCAGACAGTGTGTGGACTTACTGCATTAGAGTGGAGGATGACAAAATGTCAGGAGTGATTTTATCAGTAATGTCTATGACAGTGACATTATCAGTCATTCTCACCTTGACATATATTCACTCTGAAATGTACCCTGCTAGGTGTGACCTTAATGGCTAAAATAAACAGTGTGAACCAGGAAAACACAGACCAGGAAATAAAGGACACCTCCTTCTCATGACTCATTTTGCTGTCTAACATGTGTCCTACCAAGTATCTCTGCTTTGTCCCCTTCAGCTCCCTTAATAGAGGAATTACCCTGACCACATCCTCTGCCCACTGGCATTTCTGTTGTTTTAGAGTACTGGCAGGTGAGTGGGCTTGAGGGGAAATGGTCCTTTGCAAACGGAGGCCAGCTTTGAAGCAAGCAGTGCCGGCTCCTTTGTGTGAGATGATGGGACCCTTGTGTCTGGGGCCCAGGCACAACCAACCATGGAAAGAGGAGCCATGTTAACTGGAGCACAAACACATGATCATGTATCTAAGGGGAGACATGGAAAACAGTAAGACTGTGGGGCCTGCGCAGCTACCACATCTGCTTGTGCTTGGGAGGCCAAGCCATGAAGTGGCAGAGATTTTCTCAACTGCCACCCTTGCAGATGGCCATGAGAGGGAGCAGAAAGAAATCCACATGGGAGCACTCACTGCAAAGTCATCAGCTTGTGGTTTGTTAAAAGGGCCTCCGCCAAGAACTTAGCACCTTCCTCCTTTATTACATTATTCTGAAGGCTGCAAGAGAAAAAAAAAACATGATTACTGTGAACAACTGGGAATTAAAGCCAAAGACAGCTAAAACCTTTCCCTGCCCACATCAGATTACATACATTGAGCCCATGGAGATTCAGAGAAGAGCAGAAAAATCCCCTGTGGTTCCAATTTTGCTGCAACAAGATTCCTTCCTCTGGGGTCTCTGTTCCACCCTTTGGCCCTAGGGGACTCCTCTCCTGCCACGGAACATCTCGTATTTTTAAGAAAGCTCTTGTCCTTTCCGTCCTCCCTCCCTCATTCTAAATGCACTGGGGTCTTAGTCCATGTCACAACACCCAAATTAGATGTTTTTGACAAGTTTTTCACTGCAAAAAATTAGTTTTATCAGCAAAATTTTTTCCTGAAGCCATATTGATTTCACCGTGTTTCACTCAAAAAAAAAACCTTGAAAGATCAAACACTTTGTCTTAGCATTCCTTAACACATTTTGATTTGTAAATTTGAAATTATATTTTTCTTTGAAATGGGCTTGTGTTTTATTTTTAGAAAAAATAAGTGTTAAAAACATTGCAATCTCAAAAAATAAACAGAACCCTACAATTTTCTTTGAATGTTTTTATTCATCAAAAATTCCAAAAGCTTTCTGTTTCAGTCTGAACCAAAATGAAATACTAGTGCTTTCTTTGGAGTTGCCAGCAAACTGGCAAATCAGTTATTCACCAGTGATAATCCTGCTGTATCTGCTGAGAATTCCCTGATGACGTGCATGTTCACCAGGACTCCCACGCTGCCCTAGGATGCTCCACGCCACGCATGGTAGTGCCCCTAGAGTTACTGGGACAACTCAGTCAGGCCTTGTTGATACTCTGATTTGCTGCCGGAAGTCCTGGCAGCAGGCAACAGACAGCAGTTGCCACCATCCAACTACCAGACATGCAGTTACATGTTGCTAGTGACTCTGCATGCCTCCACAGCAACTCTGCCACTGGAGCGGGGTGCAACCTGAGGAGGCATCAGGCGCTGTAAAGACCACCAGAGCTGGCAGAAGGTGGAGGAGTGTCTTCTTGTGCTTTCTGCCAGCGACTGGACAGCAGAAACTGCTTAGCAAGGGGGCGGTAACTCTGCTGGTGAAACAGGGGCTCTGCTGCCCCACGGCAGCTCTCAGGATGCTTGGGTATGGACACACAGACATCAAGAGCTGTTTCAAAAGGGGAAATTTCAGAAGAGCAGCAGCTGTTACAATCTGCTTGTTACCTGTGGATAAGCTGGGAGCAATACAAATATAGCAAAACCAGAGCTCCAGTGTGTCCACACCTATTGCTCTCAAATCTTTGCTGGAAGGACTGGAGTGTGAATAAAGTCTCGGTGACAGATTTTAATCTACTGGGGGTCTGATTTGCAGTTACTCTTTCATACGGCTCCAGCAGGGTAAGGAGTTCAAATGAATGCATCCACTTCACACATTTGAAGCCCCTTAGCTTACCAGTGCAGTGGCAAGTAGCTGTACACTGAGAATACAACTCTTTATTTATAACAGCTCCTGAGAGGCCTTTTCTAGCTCTGCACTCCTGGAATACCGCACTCCCTATTCTCCTTGCCAGCTTCCCAGCTCTTCTGCTCACTAGAGTCAAGAAGAACTGAAGAAAATCCCCTTGTTGCTATTTGCCTGTTCCAGGAATCATTGATTGATGCTCTTGAAACTCATATATACATATATGAGTTTCAAGAGCTGCCTATACACATGCTGGTTCATGATCTAATTTGAACGCTCCAATGTGGCCTCATCGTCATATGTAGAAGCCCTCGTAGGTTTAAAAATGGCTGTTGGGATGCTTTACCCAAATCGTGTTGAATGAGGTCTAGATAAAGCATCCTGCAGGCATTTTTAAACCCATGGGGGCATAATACAAGTGACAGTGAGGTGTTTTTATTAGAGCGGCTGCCTGGGAACCACTCTAATTAAACAGTCCCCCACCCCTGACCATGTGTACAGACAGCCATATATTCCATGGATGTAAACGTCACATTGGGGAGAGTGGTTTGTATTTTAAGTAGCTTGATTTTTAAATGCCTGTTGAGTCATATTGGCCAATGATGTAGGCTGCTTCAGTAAACCCATGCAAAGCAGCAATTCATTACAAGAACAGGAGTGGTGGCTGAATAATAAAGTAAATAAAGACAGTGTGTTGTCTCTCAGCCAGATGCATGCCTTGCACAAAGTTATGCCCTTTGCAGAGGGTGTCAGGGGAGGAAGAATTCTAAATACTTCTAGGTATTTGGTCCATGGAAAGAGAAAAGAGGAGATAACCAGACCCTGAACAAGGACTAAGCACCTTTCAGTCCAACTAGCTGGCTCAGTTTTGCAAATGACAGGAACAAGACGCTGGATACACTCCCACAAACTGGCCCATTCAAATGTCAGCCAATCGCTAGATCACATGGGCCTGATCCAGTAGCATAACTAGGAGGGATGTGCAGGGCACCAGCCCTGGGCGCTGGAATAGAGAGTGTGCGCCAGAGCAGCAGTGGTTGGGTGCTGGGGCTCCATGCCGCTAAACCAGCTGCTGCTGGGCACAGGGCAGAAAGAGATGTGATAGCAGAAGCCAGAGTCTCTGAGTGCCTGGGGCAAGTAAAATGGCCCCTCTAATTCCCTCCTACTGCACTGTTCTCTGGGGCTCTGCACCCCACCCTCCTCCAGATCCCCAGCAGGGTTTGTAAGTTATTACATATAATTAAGTTAAGTTTGTCTCTGGCCTGATTCTGATAACAGAGTTTCTCACTGGTGTAAATTCACTGACTTCAAATGAGCTATTCCTGACTTATGCTGCCATGGGTGAGGAGGATAAGGCTCATTACAACAGGTGCATAGTAATGAAGTGAAAAATACAGCAAGTTTGATACGCAGCATAGGGGTCGGCACCCTACAGACCACAAGCTAGATCCAGCCCATGAGCCACTTGATCCAGCCAACAGACATGGGTTTTGGCAGCATTTGCTCTCCCCCTAGGAAAAGTGGTGGCAGCAGCTGGGTCCTAGCACCTGCCCATACCAGAACTGAACTGGGTCAGTCTGGTTCACAGCCTTGCCAGGCTGATGACTGCTGACCTAGAAAAAGTATTCCCCTACACCTTTGATTTCAGTCCATGTTCATTTAAACCTCAATATATCCAAACCCGCATAGGCCAAACCATTAAGTTTCTCCTCATTTCATCCTCAAAGCCAAGGTAAAAGGCATGTGGAAGTGCTAATTTTAGACTGTAGAGCATAATGATGTGAAAGAGAATTTGCCCCAAACCTGACCTTGTCACATTAAATAAGAGTGATGATGACAAAGAAAACCCAAGAACACGGTGTGAACAGTATGTGCCCATCACTGTGTGGTCTCCTGCAGCAACAATTATGTGCCTCTCTCAGTCTGAAGCATGTCATGCATGGTATCTCTAACGGGTGGAACAGTCCCTTCAACATGAGTGACACCATAAACCAATGTATTACTGTAAAGAGGCAGCAGCTTCACTGAACATATCACCAAACCACCTGGGAAGCTATGAAGAACTAACTAGGCTTTTTGAAGCATCTTGTGCTTGTTCCTTTGTAAAACTCAGATGAAATCTTAGGGTTTCTTTATGTTGCCAAGTAGGGTCACCCCAAGACCTAGTTTCCAGCCCAAACCTAGCAATCATTCACATTAGTTCTGCCTCTGGCAACAGTCCAACCAACCCTGCTAGCTCTCCTAAGTGCCAGATTCCAAAGCTGACTTTTCCCCTCATCCAATCCTCCCAGCAGTGTGTTCAGAGCTTACCCAAGTTAATGGTAAAAATTTCAGGAAGTCCAATAGCACTTGGGGTCTGGCCCTTCTACGACTTATTTGCCCTCTCTACTGCCCATAATCAGAACTAAGTATGGAAGGAGACACAAGAAGCAAGATGACTGACTTCTAGAAGGGCTCTGCTCAAACCCTTCTATGAATCAGTCCACCCACTTCTGTGTTTGACATGCAACCATGGCAAGTGGATAAGGACAAGGAGGGGCAGCTCATGTATGCCAGGCTAGTTAAGGGCAGCCTTCTAAGTCAATCCTAAGTAGCAGCATAGACATACCCTTAGGGGTATTTGCTTCTGCCAAAGCCCTGGTGGTGAGGAAGGGGTTATTCCAGGATGCGGCTTATTCCAGTGGTTATTCCAGGGGTTATTCCAATTTTAATGTCTACTGTACTTTGACCACTATATGGTGCAAGCTGAGTATACCTACCCTGGGCTAACAGATTCACTTAGTACCCAGGATCTTTTCACTCTAAGACATTTAAACATCTTCTAGTCTATGACTGTTCATAACCTGAACATGAGACATTTTCCCAGTGGTCTCTTAGATGTTCATTTCCTCTATGAATCTGCCTTCAGAAGAATGTGATGAAGGTAAAACACATTTAAAATGCACTTACTTCAGGGAAAGAAGACTTTGGTTTTTTCTCAGTGCTTCAGCAAGTGCTTTTGCCCCTGAAGGTCCAATAGAATTGCTCCGGAGGCTGGGGAGAGGACAGGGGTAGGCAAAGACAGGCAGAAAAGCTAAAGTTAGGAAATCAGAACTAGACTTGTTTCACAGAAATACACTTTTGCCACCAGCTGTCTCTGATTTCTGTAAGATGTCCCAAGCAGAAAGCATTTAGTAGTGGGTCTGATTGCACCTCAGACAGAATGCCTCAGTTTGCCAAGCCCCTTGAGATCATCAGGAGCACTTCTTCCACTATCTGAGGCACAAGTGGTTGCATCCTGCAGTTACAATTCCTTCAGTAATATGATCACATTGGGTCTCTCATATTAAGAATGTGAGACCTAGCTGGTGCTTTGGTGGAAGACCTCCAGGAAGAACCCAACTGGGGTAGGGCATAGTGTTGGTGATAGGTCACCCTGTTCCTGCCAGAATAGGTCCTAGGGTTCAGATAAGGAGACACAGTTCTTCAGCAAAGATCTATAATTGCAGTGGTGACAATTTGTGGTCATGAAAGTTCTATTAGCACTTTCTGAAAGTGTCAGGGAGTTAGCGCCAGGGTATGACTGCACAGCAGTGACTGCAGCTCGTGTAGACATGTCTGGAATAGATTCAAACTAGCTAGCTAAGATATCAAAACCAGTGTAGGAGCAGAATCATGGAGCAGAGCTTTTCAGGCAAGTTAAGTAGCCACTCTCAAGGAGCACCTATTAGTTTAAAATTAGCTGAAGTGTGTCAGCATGCACTGTAGACTATACTGTAGACATAAACAGCATCTTGGCCGAAATCTTGGCTTCACTTCATTCCACCTCTCCTAAATTTCAGTACTATATATCTTGTTGAATGTATCCTTTCAGCAGGATATATAATAGTATTCACCTTCCCTAAACTGCTCTGTCAATCGGTGTAATAGCTGGGACAGAATATCACCTCTCTAGAAGCAGGGATTGCTGTTGAAGGAGACAAGGGGCCTTTGCACACAGTTGACCCAACATGTGTTCATCTAGTAGAGAGCAGAAATATGTGTGTACACATTTGCCAGCCAACAACAATATTTTGCATATCTTTAGTGCTTCCAGTGATTGACCACCACTTCCCCCCCGCCTCCAGATGCTTCTGAGAAGCAGTTAGATTGGGTAGAAAGTATCCTCCAATTTGGAGAAACTAAGGTCAGCTGAAGTCACCAGTTTAATTACTAGGTTTTGGAAAAGAAAACAATTAAAGAAAACATGTGTACACAGCCACCCAAAGAGCATGCTCATGTCAGATAAGATACTCATACAACTTACTCAAGGACCATCAAGGTCCTGTTGACCATCAGGGATCTGGCGAGAGCTTTGGCTCCTTTGTTGCTGATCTGGTTTTCTGCCAAACTGCCCAGAAAAAGAAATCAAGAGTACAGGATAAGGATGGTGAGTCCAATCCCTGCCCCAGAACATCTCTGCAAACTCGCTGCTGGCCACACAAGCAGCTAAGGAAGGAGACAACTGAGAAATGTGGACAGGAGAGAGATCCTCTTATAAAAAGAAGTGCATAGTGGAGGTCCCATGTTGGACAATACAGTTCCATTGATTAATAATCAGCTAAAATTGCCCTGTTGTTAACTTGTTAGTCCCTACATACATGTCAACTGGGGACTGCTTCATTTTCAGGGATGGATTCAGGCACAGTAAGAGGTGGGACTATGCAGTGACAGGGAAAAAGGCCAGCTCCTGTGGGTAGTTCTCCTGAACTGCTAGTAGAACTCATTGCAGGGATGAGTCTCAGCTTCCCCAGCAGCCTCTTAACTGGGAACCATCCTTCATGTTTCAGCCTCCCCCTCTGGCAATAACTGACTACCCCTTCCCCCCCAGCTGGAAGCCAGCCAGGCAGTGAGAAGGTGCTGTGCATCCCTGAGGCTGAGGCTGAGGCTGAGGCTGAGGCTGAGGCTGAGGCTGAGGCTGGCTAGCAGGGAGCTGGAGTGAGTCTGTGCTGGGGCAAAGAACTGGAAGCAAGGAAGAGAGAGGTGGGAAAAAACAGACTGGCTGCTTGGGGGCTGTTACTTCCAGACAGGAGAGGGGTCTCCTCCTGCAACAGGGAGAAGCAGAGGAGGAGAAATCGTTAACTTAGCCTCAGTGATTTAGGGCAGAGTGCAAAGACTAACTGCACAATACCCATACTCAGCGTCCTGCTTTAATCATCTGCCCCAGGGTTCTCACACCTGGACCCACTATCCCAATCCTACTGTATAAGAAGATACAACCTGACAGCACATGTCACTGCACAGTTTTCTGCACAGATGACTTTGAAAGCTCTGGTATTACTTAGGGACTGATACCTTTAATGTACAAAGGCAGATCATTTTAACAGATCAGAGTGCGCATCTATATGTCACCCTATGTTGCCATAGTGACATGCTACATTGCCATTCGACACACTACAGAGATGTAGCAATCATGTGAGTCTCCATGCGATCAGCAGCTACTTTGCAGTAGCAGCGCACTCCCCCATTTTAGCATGCCACTATGGTGAAGTAGCAGTAAAAACTAGCCATGTGCTGCGTGCAGGGCGCAGTATGGGCGGTTACTGTGCCATGCTTCAGTACTTCCGAAAGAAAGTACTAAAGCATGGCGCCATAACAACGTCGATGTAGGCGACGTGTAGACATGGGTGACTGGTGCTGCCTTAGTTGGGGGGGGAGGCACATGCCTCCCCAGTAACCTGGGCAGAGGGGGGGTCCCCCGCAGCCAATTCCAAGGCAGCCGATCACTCTGGCCAATCAGTGCAGCCATTTCTGGCCACTTCTGGAAGCTCAGTGGCACTCCACTCCCCGGCTGGCGCTTGCAGGGGGCGCACCGGCACTCCTGCCTGCCCATCGCCTAAGCACCCCCATGCACCCCCTAGGCATCACCAGTGCATGTAGATGTGGCCAGAGACAACATCTTCCAGCCTTGGGAAACACACTTTCAGTGATAGCCCCAGTCTGAGGCATCTTGACCTATTCCTTGTTAAGGCCCCATTTCTGATTTCCACTAAAAGACATTCGGTAATCGCAAAGCAGAGAAGCAGGTATTTTAGTAAAAGTGTTAGTACAAGTCATGATCCTCACTTTCTTGATCATTGACTTGCCACCCAAACAGCAGGTTTAGAAATGACAAAGAAACTGAAATCTTGCTGAAAATAACTTAGGTAGGTGGTACTAATCATGGGTTTTGGATGAGTCATGGGCTACATTACTAAATTGTGAACTGCCATTAGCAAGTAGACAGAGACAGACCACTTGTCTGTAACTGAGACAAACCAATGGACTGGCCAATCTTTCCACCTACCCCTCCTGAGGATTGTGGTCTGCCCTGGATGTGAAATTGTTAAAAGAAATATCACACTTCTTGACACAGCACTTCAACAAATGACACCATTATCAACCTTACCATCATGTTGGCTAATCAACATTATCCAGTAATCAGTACCTGATCTTTTGAATCTGACAATCCTTCACACTCAGCACACTACTCAACAGCTCCATCACATTGTCCTTAAACTGGTTGTTGTCCAGCCTAGCCAACAAAAAAAATAGAAATTGCTGACTCAGAACAAAACATTTTTTTAATAATGAAATGAAGAAATGGAAATAATCATTATATGTAACTAAAAGCAAGAGCTCTCTGAAATTGAAAAAGTCCTGAGCTATTTCATTCTTAAGTTCATTGAACAACCCCCATCAAGAGGTAATGCATAGGGAACTACTGAACTTGAGGTGGTGGCCAGACAATTTTGCAGGCAGACCCTGGGCTGGCCTATGGGCACCTGCGTTCTGCCTCTGGCTCAGTTGCCCCACACCCTACCAGACCCGGGCATTGACTTGGCATGGGTCAGGGGCTCCAGTGGCAAAGACAGCTCCTCCTGCATCACTCTGGCTGCCTTACACTCTACCTGCTGCAGCCCCCCGGATGCCACCAGCTGGGAGTAAGGCAGAAGCTGGAGTGCCAGCAGTCTGCCCCCACCCCACCATCCCACTGCAATGCTGGGGGGATTCAGCAGGCCTCTCCTTCTGTCTTGGCCTGACTGAAGACAAGTTGATGCCACCCTTCTCTATGCCACCACTGCCCTGGCCCAGCTGTCAGGACCTTGTGGCACTGCTGCCCCTTGTGCCCCCACCCCGCTCCACCTCCATTCCTCTTGCTGCGAGCAGCCCCATCAGCTAGAACATGGGAGAACCACTTTCAATCCCTGCACTTTTGTTTCCCATATTCTCTAAACACCAGGCTACTATGTATTCTGGGGAAGGGCCCTCTCCTGCTGGAGTTGTTCTACTTGGTATACATAATTAAGTATTCATAAGAACATGGACTTGATCTGGGCTCATCAACAGCCTGCATGAGGGCCATCATCACAGGGCTATGGAGTTAGTCTCTGTGCAAGTCCATGCTTATTTATTTATACCAAGTAGAACAGTTCCAACAGAAGGAAGGAACATATCCCTTTGTCCAAGTAGTCTGGAAGGCAGGGCACTTCCCTGGGATAGAGGGATGCATGCTATGAGTCAGGTAGCACAGGGACCTAAACCATGCTCTCCCACATCCAAGATGAGTAGTCTGATCATCAAACTATTTTCTGTGCTAAGGCAGCCTCTTGTTCTCTAATTCTGACCAGAAATTCCACTCTAACTGGTCCACTCCTAGGAAAAGTCTCAATTCTGATGTGTCAGTATTTTCAAGGGAAAAACTATTCCATTCAGAAATCCCCAACCTGGTCCATACCATAGAGAAGCCAAAAAACTATAGTGAGGGTGGGGCTTATCAGAGATAAGGATATAACAAAAATGTAGTTCGAGTAAAACTGCCTGCCTTCTGCTGAAGACATTAGCCTGGTTACCTCCAGCAGTGCACACAGCAAAAAACCCAAATCTCCTGAGAGGCCCCCAAAGTGCAAGATAAGCCAACCTGTCAAGATAGTTAAGATGACACTGTTTTAGGAAGGCACTAAAGTAGCACCAGATTTGGCCATTAGCAATGGCACTTTCACTTCTTTGGCTCCTGTCATCCAAGGGCACATTGCTTTACAAAGATATTGACTGAGCAAGTCTACCAGAACCCTCACTAGGTAGGCAAATATTTTGATCTCCCTTACAGAGGTGGAAAAAGGCAGGCACACTGATGAGAGGTGACTCCCCCAATGAACCTAGAGCCCTGATCAGAACCAAAGTGCCTTGACTTTCCACCTCCTGGCCACATTGTCCTAATACCCCATAGTCCTGCCATCCTCAACATATATTTCAATTTGCAGGCCAACCTGTTTGGTCTTGAATAAAATAACTATCTTATATCCTTTCAATATATATTAGTTTGCACCAGGCACAACAGAAATGTGGAAATACCCAATATCCTTTCCCCAGATGAAACCCCATGATGACCTACCGGAGATTATGACAGAAGAGAAGCTGGGAAAGTAGACTTTTGCAAATATTGTAGGTGAGACAGTTGGAGAGATTTGTCTCTTCCATGCACACCTCAGAGACCTGCAAGAGATAAGCCAGGGCAGAGCAGTTCACTGGAGTTAACATCCCAGCTAAGCTCTCATTTTTCATAGCTTCCTCCACTGTCTTGGCAATCTCCATGTGCTGTATTTCATACAAGCACTGCATGACATTTACTGTCCGGGAGGAGATGACGTAGTCAGTGTTCAAGCAGCTCTGGAGAAAACTGATCACCAGACTTCTGTAGTTATTTTGCTCATCCTTTACCAAGAGCCAACCAGACAGCAACTTGTTCACCTGTGGGGAGAGAAGGCCAGAGAGAAAGCGTACAAAGATGTCCAGCTGCCCATCCTCCAATTGCAGTGATCTCTGGACAGCATTCTTAAAGTGATTGAAGAAACCCAGCTTGGGCCAAGACATCCCACTCTCTGTGAAGAGGTCAAATATTGCCCGCTTTGCTGCAGTGTAGTAATACATGGCTGCTAAAAACTCCTGAATGCTTAAATGGGAGAAATAGTATGCAGTGAAGTTCTGCATCTCTTCCTTGAGTAATATCTTACTGCACAAGCCGCCTTGTAGCGCTAGGAGATCTCCACCATAGGCTTTCAAGTCTTGTTCATAAAATATGTACTTCTTTTTGAGCAGCCCATAAAATGCCAGCCTACCCAGGTTGCCAATCACCTTCTTGCTGTTGTTCATGGCTTGCTCTATCCTGGGAGTCTCCCTCTGCTTATCCTGCCAATCACTGCTTAATGCCATTTTAAAATAATATGAATAGATTTCTGTTAAGGTCTTTGGAACAGTTGTTACTTCCTGGGACTGATCAGTGCTGTTCTTTAGAAAATAGCCTATTGAAGTACCAGAAATCCAGCAAAAAGCAGGGACTGTGCACATAACATGCAAAGACCTGTTAGCCTTGATATGATAGAAGACTTGGTGGGACAAGTCCTTGTTGTCAAGGAACATCTGATCCAAGAACTCCTTGATCTCCACAGATCCAAACCCTTGAATTTCTGTCATCCGGTCAACTAGCCCACCTGGGATCTGGCTGGCTGCTGTTGGTCTGGAAGTGACCCAAATGGAAAACTCCTGTAACAGGTTGCCACGGATAATATTAGTGATCAAGTTGTCTACTTGAATCTCCTTTTTGGGGTCTGTGCAAACTACTGTGTTAGAAAAATCTAAAGGAGTCTTAAACTCATCCAGGCCATCCAAAATCAACAGAGTCCGGACAGTCCCATTGGAGATAAAACTTGGTTCTGTTATGTGAGGGAACGCTGACCGGATGAGCCTCTCAGCAGAGAGTTTCTCATAAGTGTTGAGTTCCCGGAAGGTAAGTGGCAGCACAAATATGATGTCCTTATTAATCTCTCCTTTTGTCCATGTGTAGACAAATAATTTCACCAAAGTGCTTTTGCCAACCCCAGCTACACCCACAGTCACAGAGATCCGAGGACATATGCTGACTTTAGACAGAGGCAGGAAGAGTTTCTCCAAGGGGATATTCTTGGATATATTCCTAATGCCTTTGGTGGCCTCTAGCTGCATGACATCATGCTCTTTCTGTTGGATATCTGTCAAACCTTCTACCAGCAGAAGATTAGTAAGCCTCCGTAGCTGGCCAGTCTCCAAGCCATTTCCATAGCGGTTCTGGAGACTTTCCAAATGTTTTTGCACCATAGGTTCTGCATAGACAGAAGAAAAAGAGCGGATTAAAAAGACAGAAAATAGCCACAACCACAGGAAAATAGGTTTGAAAACCACCGGGTATTGGCAGTGGATGGGACTATGAGAAGTTATGTGTGCTCACTTTGGATATACACTCATCAGCTAACAATAAATGTACTTGCTCCTGCCACTGGCTACCAAGATTTTTTCTAGCTAGACATTGACTGAAAGTCAGCATAGGAAGCTTTACCAGAAGCTGCAACTTTCAATAAATGTTAACCAGCTGAATAACAGAAGTTAGAAAAGATAGATGAGGTCACCTGACCTGTCCCCCAACCAGGTCACACAGTTGTCCTCTATTCCATCTTTATAGTAATCTGTCCAGCTTAATTTGAGACTTTTCTTAATGAAGTTTAAACACGGAAGGGACAATTTTTTTACCATGATGTTCATAAATTCTCCGTGCCACTTTCCTGTCAATGCTGCAGAATCTAAGGCAGAAATGGTACTGCTCCTGTGTTAAATTGCCTTAACAGAAAACACTGGTTTGATATAAATGAAAATCATTTATTTCAGGGAGACACCCTCAGCAACAGAAACATGTACTCTGGAAATTAAATCGTGAGGAAGCTATGTACCTCACAGAGTTATCATGATGTCTATTAGTGACCCTTTTATCACACTAAAGGTCCCATAAACAGACCAGCATCACTCAGCAACTGAACTTAGACAACTGCAGCTTTGCCACAAGCTAAAGTGAGATATAGTCCAATATAGCTAAAGTTCAGCTCCAAATGTCTCAGTGCAAGTTTCCCATTCACAGCAACCTTCCCAGGAATAAGGATGTCTGTGATTCCCAAATGAAACATCAATACAATTCCACCTTGGGGGCTAAATTCAGAGCTGTTAGAGGAGAGTGGTGTTGATCTGAATCTTGCCGCTGCTGTACACCCCTGTGGAGGTCCTCATGCAGTCTCACAGTCACTTTGAATTGAGCATTAAGGACTCTAAGCAAAGGAGTGTTTATTCAAGGTGGGAAGTGTTTTTTACAGATTTTTACATCTTTCTCAGTTGCCTTTCTTAATAAACTCTTGATTCCACAGCTTTATTTTAAAACAACATAAACTCCTTTGCACTCGGAAACAGTCAGAAGAAACATGGAAGGAGGGGAGGTAAGTTACATGTTAGCAAATGGATAAGTTAGCCCATGTAAAGGCATGTCCCAGAATAGTTTCACCAGTTACACCAGTATTGTGGATTAAGAGCATCTTAATTATGCTCAGCTTAAATTATTTCCCAGGAGACATAAAATAAATGGAGAAAACCATTCATACTTGAATGGGAACGTCCACAAAGGGGTTTATTACAAAACTGGTTGAAAGTCAGATGGATTCAGATGATAAACCCTTTGAGAGGGGGACCAGGTTTTTCTTTGTGTTTGTACAGTGCTAAAACACACTTGGCACTGTAAATAATCATGACAGCTTGCTCATTAATTTTTAAAAACAGCACACAACTTGTCCAGATTCTGCTAGATGTTAATAGACAGAAACAAAACAGAATGAGGATTAAACTCATGGTGACCTCAACCATCGTGTTAGTCAATTCTGTTCAGTGCAATTATCATCCACATACTGTATCTCTGATTGCACTATTCAAACTTTCCTACTAGAAGCAGTACTGAAGCTTAATTTCAATACCTAGGTAAGTAATTATTAAGCAAAACACCCGAAAATTGCTTATACTGGAGTGCAGCCTAAAGCAGAGAAATGAAGCGAGACAAATTGGTCTTAAGGCGTGGAGTCTTGGATCAGGAGACACAGAGTTATACTCCTGACACAAACATATTATTCATTATAAAATAAAAAAATCTCATTAGACAAAACAGTGAAATAAACAAAAAAACCACTCTCAAAACTGAAACAACAGATTTTGATTTTGTAATTTTAATTGATTAAAAAAATTAGTCTGGGGGGGGATTTTTCTTTTATGGAGAATTTCAACATTTGCAGGTCTTGTACAGGAATCAAAATGAAAACAAATATAACAATCCACAAATAACCAGGAAACTAAATTTCCCTGCTCAGAGGGATTCCCGCGTGTCCTTCTTACAGCCCTCAGGTACCCAGGGGAATGCCTATGTCTAGTCAGCTTGGCTGCAGAGGGACAGGGGAAGAACAAGGCCATGTCACTGTTGTCTTCTCATCTCTGACTTGCTCAATGATTTCTACCAGACATGGGAGCAGTAGGAAGGAGTTCTCCCTGCACACAGATATGACCCAGCTTATGTTCTGCATGTTTGACTGTTCGATAATGGTAGCTTTGTGTATTTCTCATCTGCATACCAGGCCTGTGCGAAGCAGCTAGTATTTGATTAGGATTCGACTGATTCAGGGGACAGTGATTCGATTCGGTGATTGGAATCACTGTCCCAGATTGATTCGGCTAAATCTGATTCGGACATTTGGCTGCCGCCAAATCAGCCAAATCTCCAAATCAAGCGGGCCCAACCCCCGCCTGCTCTCCCAGCCCCATCAATGGCTGCCCCACCCAGTACCAGCATCCCAGCTCTTTAAAAAAAAAAAAGCCCTGCACTCACTGGCTCTTGCCAGGTTGGGGGGGTGATCCCTGCTGCCCCCCACTTCCCTGTGCTGAGGGGGGGGCTCTGCCATGAGCCCTCAAATACCCTCATGGCTACTGCTGCAGCTGGTGAGGGCAGGGCGTTTTTTGTTTTTTTTTTTTTTTTAAGTGTTGGGAGGCTGGGGCCGGGCCGGTAAGTCATTGACAAGGCTGGGGAGAACAGGCAAGGGGCAGGGGGTGCTCAGGGGGGCTGGGAGAGCAGGCAGGGGATGGGGCCTGGCAGGGGTCCCCCCATGGTCCCCTCCACCCTTCTCAACCCCCGTCCCACCCCCTACTTGCTGGCACAGAGCCTGGGGCCAGCTCCCTGCAGCGGCAAGTGGGGACTGCCCGAATCTCCGCATCTTCTCTGAATCTTTTCTGAATCGATTTGGAGGCTTCAAATAGATTCGGACCTTATAATTGGTCTCCCAATTTGATTTGGATTCAGAAATTCAGCCACCAAATCAGGCCAAATCTCCTCTAAATTGAATCAGCAACTGAAGCTTCGCACAGCCCTACTGCATACACTCTTTAACATGCAGGTTTGAGGGGCTGCTTGTGCTTATTTTCACTGTTTGTTGTCAGGAGTTATGCTGTTTGAAGTTAAAGTTCACATTTGCAAAGGGCAGTTTTTGAGTCCACCAGCCATCTGTTCCAAACTGTGAAGTTTGGAGGTATGTGAAGTTGATGCCAAGTTATACAAAGATAATTAAAATGCCCTCATGGTAAGCTGTTCCAAGGTCTGCAATGGTGAGAGTTTTAGTGCAAAAGGTTAGACGTGAGGACTAGAAGAGATTCCAGACAAGAATCACTCTTTGGATAGCTTTGTGGCTTATCAACTGCTCGAGAAAAAGTGCTTGCAAGCATCATTTTCTACAATGGGTTCAGGGAGCAACCTGAAACTCACTGGGGGCATCTATACATGCTATTAGCATGCAGCAATGAACTCCAGCACATATTGCGCTGGAGTTTCTTGCTCCCGGGCACTGTGTTTGAATATGCACATGGGACCGCAGCACGTTGAGTCAGGTCAGAGTAGACCCAGCTGGCAGAGAGTCCGGTGGGGTCAGCCTGCCAGCCCAGAGCTGCTCCAGCATGGCTCAGTGTGCTGCAAAGGGGCTGGCTGGGGCATGAGGGTGCTCCAGTGTGGAGCTAGCCAGCAGGCAGCTCCACACTGAAGCACCCTCATGCCCCAGCCAGCCCCATCAGCATACATATGTATTATTGTATTTACAAGTACTATCCTGTGGCAGAGCTAATTAGTTTCTTGCACCCTAATAGCCCTACATGTGTAGATGCTGAGAAATTTACTGCAGAGCTAATTAACTCCACAGTAAGCAAGACAGGCACACTATTGTTGAAAAAGCTGAAAAAAGCCCTGAATCTACTACTGACATAGGACAGGTCTAAAAGAACTGGAATAGCAGTCTGAAAAGGAAAGAGACCCCAGCAAAGGAGTGGCAGAGACCCTGGTGGTAGTGGCACTTGGCAGAGGTTCCAGATGACAGTGCTGGGTAAGGCTCTTTTTCCAACTGACTGGGCTAGGTGATAGGTCCCTGGGTTGGTTTGCGAGTCGCTGGGCACACCTAGAGACATTTACTTGAGAGTAGACTAATTAGCTCAGCAGTAAATGTCTCACACCTACATGTGTGGCCCGATTAGGCCACGGGGAACTAATTAACTCCACAGCAGGGTAGTGATTGTAAATATAAACACTAGCCTGCCCTGCTGCAGGGTTTTGCAGACACTGTAGACACTGACTTGGTTGGCTGCAGCTGCCTGCCAGCTAGCCCCACACTGAAGCACCCTCGTGCCCCAGCCAGCCTCAGGCTGACAGGCTGAACCCCAGATTCTCTGCCAGGAGGGGATGCTCTGACCCAGTTCAATGTGCTGTGGTCCCAGGCACATGTTCAAACAGTGCACCCAGGAGCAATAAGCTCTGGTGCAATAAGCACTGGAGTTCATTGTGGCATGCTAACAGCATGTGTAGACAGGCCTACTGTAACTGTAATCTGGTTTGAGCTTGTGCTGACTGTGATCTGAGATATAGTTATGGGTTAATAGTTAATAGTATGTTTATTACCTTTTTTCTTGTAATATACCTTGTTTTAGTTTAACATTGGCTTGTCTGTAGGGAGTTTGTTCACATTAGAACACCCAGTTAAAATTGGTTTTCCCAGGTTTCTGGGTAGGGATTCAGCCTAAATCTGAGAAGTGATATAAAACCCCTAAAGTTGAACCCAGTCCTTGTTACTTGAAGGCCGAAGACCTTCAAGTCAGCCAGTCCTGATGGGTACTCAGGGAGCTGGCAAGCTGGCAAGCATCATAGCTCAGCCCCTGGCAAAGGTCTTTGAGAGCTCTTGGCGCTCTGGTGAAGTGCCCGAAGATTGGAAGAGGG